TATACCACCGCGTCTGGTCAACAGCTGCCTCTGTGCACAGTATTCCAGAAACAGTACTTTATTACGTGAGCCAGATAACCATCTTGGAGTAAAATTACTTTTGGTTAAACAGGGCAGTTGTAGGACTACAGTCTTTGCCTGAAACCTGTATTAAAATTTAGATGAAAGGTATTTGGTGATTGTTGCCATCACCAAACAAAGGATGACAAAAATAAGACCTGTAATTACCTATCCTATCCATTTCCCCAGTTGCCCATATGTACATGTACTTTCTCCCACGTGTGTGTTCTCTTGACTTCTTGTTAGGTCCCGCTAGCCTAGTCTAAAGCAATCCACTTAAATCTCCTTGAGCTGCCATTCACTTACAGGTATAATCTTCTTTTAAGCCCATACGATACATCCCATGATACTCTTATATAGAGTACAAGATTGCTTCAGCTACAAGTTGCTTAGCTTGATTTCTTCTGGCAGTTTTTATTTTCCATTGGGTTCCTCTTAATACATATATACATTTGGACCAAGGTTCTTATTGATTTGGTGGATAGGTGCTGTTGCTGGTATATTGATTCACTTGCAGCGCCAGCATGAGTTATTGGCGTAAAGATCATCTTTCTCTTTTCTTGCACAAGTTGCGCGCAAACATGTAATGTGTTCATCACTTCATCCCAGAGTTGTTTCAGATTCTAGGTGTATGAAGCTGTTACCGCACTGCTTGCTGTTTCTTCAGTTTTTCAAGGTTATTGTACAGCTACAGTACCTGACTTTTAAAAAGACAGAGTTGAGTTTTGGAGGAAGATTTGAGCAGCATGGTAAAAGTGCCAGAAGAGTTTCCTGTGATGTAATCAGAATTCTGCATCCAGAGATTTATTTCTATTTTTCCTTTGGCTGGCAAGTGTCTTAGTAGATTTTCTACTCCACCATCATATGGGATGAACTGTCGTAAAGAAACCCCAACCAAACAACCCTACAGCTTTAATTGAACTGAGAGTAGATACTCTGAAGATGGCTATTAATAACTCAGTTTCTTCTGTTGTAAGGTCAGTGAAACAGTCCTTTAATTGTGTTTATACTACAGATAGGAGAAGTGTAAAATCAAGTGTGCAAATGAGGGAGGGGAAAGCTCACAGTAGAAATTAAAATTTAGAATTTAAAGAATATCCTATTTTATGTATTTGTTATCTATAGGGCCAGCTTTTCAGCAGGTAAAGGACAATATAATTGCTTTTGGATATTGCAGGAATCGAATTACTAACTACTTACAGGTTCGGATGTTCATCATCAAGCTGTACTAAATCAAAGCTGCAAATTAAAAGAATATACTGGTTTTACCCCAAAAAACTTCAGTGTTGGGGGTGTATGAGAATTCTGGAGGGGAAAAGAAGTCACACTTTTGCATTATATTGCTCTAATCCTTTGTCTTCTGATGCATTGCTGTCTGTTATTTCTGTAATTTTATTTATAGCTTGAAGCTGTAGTGTGTAGCAGACATAAAGAAACTGTTACCCAGAGGTGGAATTAGTGTGGTTCACTTTCAGTGTATAGGGCTTAAGTAAAGACTTGATGAAACTATCTTTGGATGTAACTTTTAAAAACAGGGATTTAGGCATCTGACTACCATTAATATTCAGGAGTGATAGGAAGCTGAAGCTGTGTCACCCTCTTTAAATTACCTTGGCCTAATGCTTAAGTGATTATCATGGTGAGTGAATACTATTAATGAATAGTGAAATATGGAATAAAAGTAATGAATACTTTTAAGGCATTTTAAGGGTGATTTAGGGCCATGCATGTAGCATCACACAACGTTCCTAGAGTATTTAACTATTGGAAGAGGATTTTTAAAGCTATTTTTAGTGATTTGCTACACATAGGAAAACATTGGAGATTAACAAACTGTTAATGACATAGTTGTTCATTTTAAAAACCTTTAAATTTAGAATTCCCGTCTTACTGTTTAGGTCGGGGGAAATACACTATGTACCGTAATGTAATTCTTGTAATAGGTATATTAAACTTCAGTTGCAGTGTCTTGCAAACGTAAAACTTGCTGATGTAGCTACTGGTTTTTAATAGATCATTGACCCGTCAATCAGACTCTGACCGTTTCAGAGATAAAACGCTAGGCTTTCATTGGCTATTATGAATAGAGCACCTTTCCACAAATTAAGAAATGGTGTAATAATTAACAGGTATAATGGATATGTGCATTCAGGTTTCAGTTATATCTTTATGAGCTTTAGCTCCTGTTATCTCTGGTGTAGTTAACCCCCTGTCTACCCGCAGATAATTCAACTACAGTATAAAAATGGATTTGTTTTGTGGCAGTGGCATTTTGCTATTATGATTGATAGGGTTTTTTTCCTCATTTTTTAAGATCTGTAGTAAGAGCTGTTCTTTCAGACTTTTTCTTTAAAGCAAGGCGCAGAACTTCACTAACAAAACCCATTAAATAAGTAATAATACTGTTCTAAAGAAGCATAGCAAAGATTCTTTAAACCATTTTGCATGCAGAGAATTTACCCAAACTTTATTTTTTTCTGATTTACAGACTTAAATGATTATAAGTACTGATGATTCCTGGTACTGGATTTTGGTATCTTTGACCTAAAAAGTTGCTTGGAAATTGCCAAAGCAGGTCATTCAATAGTGGACTCATTAGGTGAACCACGAAGTAGGCAGAGGTCGCTTACCATTCCTAAGCTCTAAATATCTTAAAAATCAAAATTTTAGGTTTTGAAAATATAAATGATATTTTAGTTGCAAAAATTCATTAAATAACATCAAGATTCAATTGCTTTGATGTAATACACTTCCACTGCAAAATATGAATCAGGAAAGGAAATCCGAAGTTTAGAGAAGTTACAGAACTGGAAAGTTAAGGAAAACTTTCTGAATTTATGTATAACTTTTATTCATCTTGAAACATGACAAAAACCAAAAGAGAAGTGATAGTTAAAATGAGAGGCTGATAAAATACTATATAACTGGAAGTTTGCCAAGGTATAGGAGGGTTTTTTTTTGTTTTAAAAAGTGTTTTCCTATTAAAGTATTGTTGGCACCTTAATTAGTGCTATTAATCTGATTTCACATGTTTTACACGCGATACTGTTTCAGGTGTGTTCTTATATACCAGATATTTATTCAGAACACATTTGTATAGAGGCTCACATCTTTAGCAAACTCATTTTTGTACTAGAAGTTGGCATAGCCATCATCTTATTGTAAATTCAATTTAATCTATTTCAGGGAAGTTCAGCTACTTAATGACATGAATTGTCCCTATATAATTGTACAGTAGTAGATCTTGGCAGTGTTCAGTTTATTTTGTGATCAGTAGCTCACGGATTTTTGTCATTGGTGGGGTTTTAGTACTGTAGCAAATAAGTCACCATTCATTATTCATACGATTTTGTCATGTCAATGCTACCTAGGTATAAGGTGTGCTTATAAAAGCAAATAATCAGGTACTTGTCTAAAAAAAGTATGTTCAAATTACTTCTTAATATTAGTCACAGATCTTTATGTGTATTTATAAATGTAGATGTAAAAAGATGAGTTATTCTGGAAGAAAATGCAGAAATATTTCACTTATATTTGGCAGTGTCATGCCTGCTGTGACTTGAGTCCAAAATACTGCAGTTGCAAGACTACAAAACTTATTTTTAACATCACTTCTTTAGGGATTCAACCCCGCTATCTCACTATCACTTGGCTTTGTCTTTCCCTTCTTGCCTGATCCATTATTTTAGTGTTGAACTGTAAATTCTGTCTTTTTGGTTATTTGTATATTACCATTCTTTAATTATATAACTTAAAACTTTCACAAGTATGGGAACTGTCCTTTAAAAGTTGCTTTCTTAGGAACCTAAATTTAAATGTACGACTATGGAAGTTTGGGTACTCCTTTTAAGTATTATTCATTTTGCAGTGAGCATAAAACTGAGCGTTACCAGTTACTGTGTTTTGTAGCTTCTTTGTATTATGACATGATATATATCTCATTTTAGTGGTTGCATATTGTTTTTCCAGTTACTTCTGTAATATACCTGAGATCAGTGTTGCAGGATGTTTACGGTTTTTCCATGTTACTATGAGCTTTATGGATGTGCAGATTTATCGACCCCTAGTGGGTTGTTAGGAAAATGGCTGTTAATTTAATAAGTGCTAAATGAAAAATTTAAATATTTTTCAATGCTGTATTTGTTTCAATGCTCTTTTTCTTCTGTTTGCAGCTGGATTAGCTCCTGAATTTCATTTCTGGTGTTCTGTTTCCTGCCTCTGCAGAATTGCCTATCGCAGCAACTTCTATTAACAGCATTCCCAAAACGTGTAGCTAGGTGTCTGCATTTTAATGAACACTTGTAGCTGTAGCTGAGTATTTAAAAATTATAGTATAGCATAAATTAAAAAAAAAAAAAAGGGTCTTTTGTTTTGTGCTGTGTAAGGTGGACTTATTTTTAATAAGCTAGAAAAAGCTAGTAACTTCTTGGGTAGTATGATACTATATAAATGAATTAAAGCTAATTCTAAATCAACTGCTCAAGTTTCACTGACCTCTTAGTACTTATTAAATAATTATAACTTATCGGTAATATCCTGAAACCTTCCATTTCATAAAATAATAACTTAATACAGTCTTTTCATGCTCAACCAGCATGTAAAATATTGCATTTCTAGCAAACTTTTAAACTAATTTTAACTAGCTCTAGTATTTTTAATCATTTAGTTGAAATTGTAATTTTCTGGGAGGTGAAATGATCTCCTAACCATGCTGTGGAAGTTTCTTACAGGCACTTATTTCACATGAATTAAAACGAAGTACTGAATAGTGAATTCACATTTGACTGTTTAATTAGCAATAATAAATTAAGATAAGTCTGCTCAATAATTAAACTGAAATTGAACTTCACTATAATTCTGCATCTGCTACATGTTTCCAAGTATCAGAATCAGAAATTAAGACCTAGTGTAAATAATTTATTTTTCTATGCAAGTTTGACACAATAAATAACTTCCATTTTTTTATTTTGTACATTTAATTTTATAGGCTTTAAGTAGTAAAGTGGTGTTTTTACCAGTTACATTATGAAATAGTCCTTTGAATTTTAGGTATTTTTAAATTGTTAAGAAAAGGCCAAAGATAATTTTTTGGCATTTACTAATATTTAGTGTTGTGTTTATTGCATAAACCATATTGTTTAAAGTCAAACTTACACAGCAGTCAAAAATGTCAAAAAGACCTCAAATTCATATTTTTGTGGGAGCACCCAGTATTCCAAGCCTGCTGGAGGTGTCAGAGCGAAGTGGTTCAGCACCTGCTGCTGAAAAATGGAGAGAACTCCGCTATTCATGTGATATACGTAGTCTTTTTTCTGAAAAAGTCAAAGGTGCTGACCACGTAGTGTTTCAGGCAGAAAGCTCTATAGTCAGAGCAGTTCCTACAAACGATGACAGCTCTCAGCAGTCTGAACAGGGAAAATTAATGGTAGCAAAAGAATATTCGACATCTCTTGTACCTGTGGCAGTAACTTGTACCAGCACATCTAAAAAGACTGAAAGTTTAATTTATTCTGATTGTCAAATACCTAAGGATAGATGCACATGTGCAAATGTAAATCAGGCTGCAGATCAACACCTTCCTCAAAAATTTGCAGAATCAGCTAGACAGGATGAACAATCACATGGCTATTGTTCAAACCTCACTGAAGGAAAAACAAGTCATTTAGAAGTCAACAGCTCTGACATTTCTGATTTGGTTGCCAATACTAAGCAGATTAGCATACATCTGAGATCTGCGGGACAAGGTGTTCAATTGGATCACAGAAGTGATCACCATGAACATCTAAGTCAATATCTGGATATGTTTTTCCCCCAAAATCAAGAGTCAAAACCAAAAGGAGAACCAGGTGATTGTTCACACCTTGCCGTGTCGACTGATACTGAATTTCGTAGTATAATGACTTCAAGTCAGATGGCCGTTTTTGCACAGGATCGGACTGAGATGCAGAAAAGAATCATAGAACTATCGGAAACAGAAGCAGGCAAAAAAACTGAAGAAAGGCACTATGATCACTTCCAATTTGATTCTGCTGCTGGAACATGTCTTAGTGTGGCTGAAAATGAATATAAGGAAGAGTATGCAAGTTCCCTTGAACTTTTCAGTTCTGAGGGTGATGGGAAAAATGTTTGCTTTGAAGCTACAAAACAAGAAGGAAGTGCTTGGGAAAATA